ARAAAATGCAACTTTAAATCCASAAAGAAAACATTTGCAACATTTTCGTCRAACTCTTATGRCGTTCTAGTTTTTCAACTAGACTTTTGGGTGTTTCTCACTTCACATCTGGGCAAAACGTGCTGAGCGTGGAATCGCCAAATTTTCGTTCAATTTATTTGCTCGAATTTGGCTTGTGCAAGCCAGTTTGTGCAGATGCCTTCCTACTTTTACCCTTTCTTTAATCATCATGTGGATGCTCGAATTCAATTCACTCTCAATCCCAAGTTGAGTACACACGAGAGGAATTTTTTTTCGAATTTTGAAGAAACCATGTTAACTGACTGATAGGGACACGAAAACAGCAGCAAAACATTGGGGTTTTGAGGCGCAATTTAAACGACATAAAATCTGAAAATTGCTGGCTAAAAGCAAGCACTACAGGAACCTAGTTTTACGTATATTTGGTAAACGGGGCTCGTTCGAGTAATTTAAATTTCCTGTTCAGTAACATGCTCTATCAGGGCTAGTCTAGGGACTCTATTAGCGGAACTGAACGATGAAAACAAATGGCTTACTTATGTTGTAAAGCTATTCGTTGGGGTTCCCAACGACCGAATTTGAACAAACTGTCGGCACACGAACTTGATTATTCTAATTAACTATCAATCTACAATTGGGAAGAATTTGTTAAACGGTTGCGCTCGGAAATCCGGTACTGATGAGAGAAAACTAAACTCGGGCGATGATTTTTTCGATCGCAGATTTTCACCCATCGCAGTCCCGGACATTCAAGCGACGACTACTGAATCACCAGCACATTTTCATTGCGAAATTGCCGGTTTCGACGACGACGATTTCAGCTCACGGGGCAGCGGAGTTTCGTCATTGCAGCAGCGAAGGGCCCTTTCGCATCTGCGCAGGTTTTCCTGCTGTCCTGCCGCAAGTGTGCAGAGGAATTAGGGTAACACGCGACTAGTTTTGTTTCCGCGTCTAAAACCCCCGATTACGTTTGACCCTGCGACAATCAGATGCCATCGAAAGAATGAACAGACCCTCGATATCGATGCAATCCGAACGCGAAACGCCAATAATCCAAAAACTAACGACATAATTCGAATCGAAGTATGAATTCGTTGGAATGCAAATTACCATGGGCATCGTTTGTTGGCTTAATGGATTATTTAGGAAACCGTAACAGAAACCCGCGATGATTTGTTTTGATGATTTGCTAATAAGATCAGTGATGAGCAAAACAAGACCAGTACTTGTATGGTCTTGCATGGCCATGTCGAGCCCACCACCGGGTCAATTGGACTCAAACTGTACTTAGACTGGACTCTTTTTGGCTTTTCTACTTTTTCGTCCTTTTTCCCAAAATTAAAATTTTAATTAATATTTTGCGGACTAGATTTGACCAAATTGGGATAAACACGTTGGGGGACGTGCCGACGCCGAGGCCGGACGACAAGTGTTTCTCATGACGTAACAAGCGTCCCGTGACGTCAAACAGGAGCGTCGATACGCCGGCATCGCTGTTGGCGTTGAGTCTTAGCCGCACTGCAGTTTGGCTTTGCGTTTCCACTGCCAAACATGTTCGGTTTTACGCGAAACTGGCAATTATTTCGCTTTTTAATTTCTCACCCCGTAACTAGCCGATTTTTTGAGCAAAATAATCCCAGCAGAAAAACCGTAATGAAATCAAGTCTGGTTGTTCAGATGGCTATGGAACTATAACAGTAGTCTTCTAAGTCTACGAATTTAAATTTAATCATTGACAGAATAACGCTTACCTTTCCTTGATATGTGGATTTCTTTTGCTGAAAACAAAAATAAACCAGTTTAGTCGTGATGGGGTTTTGCCAGTCCACGCGTATTTCACCCTCCCAATTATCAGCTTGCATTCGATCCAGGCAAATTTCCGTGGGGGAAAATTCGAAGCAATTTCCAGTCAAATTTTATGAATTTCCGATTCGGGTGCAATCGTTGTAAACCAACGAAGTCCAGAGCCAATTGCGTTTGAGGGATTGGGTAACTTTGCGCTCTTATGTGGGACTCGAATCTTTTTACGCTAATTAATCGAATCGATCGAAAATCTAGCTGGTTCGGAAATCCATTACCGTTAGAGGAATAGAACTTAAATTAATTTCAGGCAATCCAAATTGTGCTTTCGCTGGAATCGCCATAACATTTTACTGACATAATGTCGAATGCGCTTCATTTATATTCCTTGTGAAAACAACATCGATTCTACATTTTCCCCTATAGATTGTCCTCTCTAGATATCTTCCTTCAATTGATTTATCGCTTTCGTTTAGTAAAAGGCGAATGGGACAGGAAGAGCGTTTTGGGTGAGTTAAAACCAAAAAGGGAATTCAGATAAAATTACTTACATAAATTGCAAGTCGCTGACATCGTGCTCATCAGCCAACAGCAGTCGTTGTTCCGCCAACTCCTTCAGTTCCCGCTCTCTATCCCGTTCAGATTGTCGCTGTTGGAGTAAATCGTTGTCGAGTTGACGAATTTCCCACTGCTCTCTTTGCGACCGATGATGTTCCTAAAGGACAAAACGTCGTTAAATGTGATGGCCCATTTTCGTTTCTAGATCAGTGAATCGATTCGGATGTACTAAATTATTCATCTGTGAAGTCGCTTATAAAATAAATATAAGAAAAATATAGATAGACTTAGTGCAAGTTTACTCAATAAAATATCTTTGTCAAAGAAGGATATCAGGGGCGATCACCGAAAATAAAATGATAGAAGATGATAACATAGAAGGAAGCTGGAACRTGATAAAGTCCAACATAATAAACTCAAGTGCAGATCTCCAGATGTGCTCATCTCAAACTCTCAGAGAGCCTGTTACGATCCTGTAGACTAGCTTAAACACAGTTCAGAAAAATTAGAAGAATGCCAAAAATRCACCTGTAGCTCGAAAAAAAAAGCGTTTTTCGCCAAATGTRAAAGATTTTTTGAAAATCCTGTCACAATTCAGCCCTTAGTTTACGCACAGGCTACAATAAAACAAAAATTCCATAATTTATGGGGATACGACATACAGGTTACTTTTCAT